TGATGCCTGATGGTCTTATTATACCTGATGGTCTCATAACATCTGATTATGCTCATAATAAAGGCAGATATAACAGCAACAAAAAAAACATCAGTGCAAAAAAATACTAGCAACAGCCAATAATAATCCATTATTTAATCAGATAAACTGAGTGATCCTGTCCTCTGGGGCAAAAAACGTTCTGTATCCCTCAGTGACAGGACACCTGCCTTAGGAATTTGCTGGTAAAGGGGTAGATGAAACCAAAGAGCAGGAAAAACACATTCCTTTCACAAGGAATAAGGACACCCAGTAGGAGAATGCATTTGGGCATGTTTACTGAGAGGGGTGGCACTCGAAGCACCTGTAAGTGGCTGAAGGACGTTGGGACCCCCATGCAAAGAGAGAAAGGGGCAGCTGAAAAGGTGGAGATGGGGGAGGAGGTCGGATGCAGAAAGACATATGCACGTACTGTAAGTGAGAGGCTTACTATGGTATTTCTAGCTTTTCGGGACCTGAACTCATGGAGAACTTCAGCAGAAGTCTGAAGGAAAACTTGATGGACGTCATCCCTCCTGAATGTTCGCTAAAAACTACAATTATGAATTAAGCAAGCTGAGCAGTCCAGGAAAAGCTGTTTGCATGAGCGTCTGGTATGCAATAAGAAGACGAACCGTAGTATACTAGAAGTAAAAACACCCTGGCTGTTGAAAGATGACCACTACATAGCACTGGTTGAAAGGTGTTGCTTAAGGGAGAGGAAGGAGAAATTTGGTAAAAGGCGCCCTCTTGTGGGAATTAACCTAACTTACTCTCATAGTAGAGACCACCAAAGCAAAGCTACACAGCACAATCCTAGAGGTGTGCTGGAGAGCAGAAGAAGTCTGTCACAATGCTCCAAAAAGTGTAAAATGAATGCATGTCCACAATGCTTACACCTTCAAATATACCTCTAGATTTTAGCTTAGATCTTAGTTATGTCACCTGTTAACATAGCATACTACTGTAGCAACATATCGGACTTCAGGTAGGTTAAATGTATCCAAAGTATGAACACTGTGACAAAAATGAAAGCATTAACTATATAATTCTTAGGTGAACACTTTTTACACCATGTGAACTGCTAGGAACTCCCTGAATTGTGTGAAGGGGTAGAAATTGCTTCCTAACGGGATTATCTGTGGTAAAATGCAAATCCCATGAAAAGTCTCTCTCTCTCTGGGGATCAAAGTATGTGGCTCTGAGTGTAATCTGGCACAAGCACTCAACCCAACACCTGCCCTGTTAACTGCACCCTTGACACAGCAGCATGCGTGTGAGAGAGAGACACACACTTCCATCGCCAGCTCTCGGGGTGTTCCTGTACACCAGGGGTGCACACGTCCAGTCCCGTAGGGTCACAGTGACTTCAGGTTTACATTCCACCTCTCCTCTTAATCACCTAATTGAGCTGCTCGTTAGCTTAGATGGAGCAGTTCATCATTTTCCACAGGGCTGCTGTCCCTTTGAGAACTAGAGTTGGGCAGTTCCTGGCTTTGCCCCATCCACAAGACTTCAGGTGGCTTTTCAATGGATTCACTATCCTTCGGTGCCACCTCTAAGGAGCAAAAACAGCCTGAGGGTTATCATAACTGATCCTTTAGGAAAAAGTTTTTGATACAGAAAAGTAAAACAGCAACAAAAAAAACATCAGTGCAAAAAAATACTAGCAACAGCCAATAATAATCCATTATTTAATCAGATAAACTGAGTGATCCTGTCTCTGAGCTCTGAAGACTTCTGCAAAACTCAACTGAAGTACACTGGAACATGGGGAAAGTTGGAAGTCATGCTATGAAAAGGACAGGAACAAGCCATCTTATTGTCATCTTTCTTGACTTACAAAGACTCCAGTATCATATTTCAGTGAATTAAAAGTTTCCTATGTTTTTCCCTTTTCCTTCCATGGCTGCTCAGCAGTAATACATTTGCGCTTTTTCCAAGGCGTGGTATCCTGTATGTGGCCATTTAACACTGCAGGCAGCCTGCCTAGCTACAGTGTATTTGCACAGCACACTGGTAATCAACCATATCACTCCCACTTTATTTGTGCCTGTTCCTATTCGAGATCTTTTAACGCCTGCTCTGGTGGGCAGTGTTTGCTGGAGCTTGGTAAACGTGAGCTCTAAATCTAGATCAGGAATGAATGCGCTTGATAGGAGGCTCCGCAGGGCTGAAGAGGTGGCCGCAGAAAGATTTTGTCTGCAAAGGGAGAAGCAGTAGAGCACAAGAAGGGAAAGAGAAAGAGAGAGAAGGAAGTGGAAGAGGGCTCAGGTGTGAAAATGAGCAGGTTTGAGTGTTGCACTCAAATATCTCACTTGGGCGGTGCTAAGTCTGTCAATTTCTGATCTCCAAACTCTGTCCGACTCCCTCCTTTGGCCACTGTGATACACTGGCTTACAACACACACACACATAAGAACAGATGGCAAAAGACAGTAGATGGTAGATAGTAGCTAAATAATCCAAGGATCTCATCCACCGGTTTCTTGAAAGAAACAAGGTATCAGGTTTAGGAACATGGCTGAGTAGCTTGTTCCATACTCCCATAACCCTTTGCATATAGGAGCACCTAGGCTTATGCATAAAGGCTAGATAGACCGAATGGCTCTTATGTAACTAGAGACTTGTGTAACAGTGCCAATTGTGATTCTAACATTCCATACAGGAATACTTAGAGTTCTGGCACTTGTTCTGACTGCTGAAGAATGATAGTTTCTAGTGACAAGCTCATACGCTGTTTTAGTTAACACAATAGGGGCGATTCATCCTTCTTTTTGTAAAATGAATACTTTCTGGTTTGATGCAGCTGGCGTAACAGTAAGAGGTTTCTGAAATGGGATGATTTGATCAATTCTTCTGAGCCCACAGCAGGAGAGAAGGGAACCTTCCTTCTGAAGTACTTAAAAAGGTTAATAAGAAAGTGGGTACTGGGGCTTTGAGGGGGAGAATCATGCTCTGTCAGTGTTACAGACAGGCGGGGAGCTTGCTCAGTTTCAGTCCATTGCTACATTTGCGCATTAAGGTGTAATGGAATGGTGATGTCATTGTTAGAACTCTCAGGACTGCAATGAGGTCATTTCTAGCAAAACACTGGCCTCTCTGAGGCTCACAGAACCCCTACTGTCTGCTGCACTGTACCATCTAGGGACTGATGTCATATGCCAAGTGTGTCTGCCAAGGCCGTGTCTCAGACAACACGCCTGTTTATGAGCCTTGATAAAAAACGCAGGTCTGTCCAAGTTGTAGTTTTCATTGATCTAAGTAAGCTCCAGCAGAAGCTGGCATTTGCCACCTGCTGGTTTTCCTAAGCTGCAATGTCACAACTACATTTGAAGAAATGGCAGAGTTGGAACATTTGGCCCAACGTTTTCTTATTTTCAGGCACGCCATGTCTACGCCAGAGCCATAGGAAGAAAAACAACACATTAAGCCAACTGACGGGCATGGAAACAAAACAAATGACAGGACAAAGTGGTGTAGGAGGTGCCGTCTTTTGAACAAGACATTAAACCAAGGTTGTGACTACTCGGCCATTAATGATCTCTCACTGTAAGAGTTGGACTGCTGCCATGGTTGTCTGCCCAAATTCTTTGTGCACTGCACAAAATTATGTCCTTTAATTTTCCCCTTCAATCAATTGAAGACATTTCTCCCTTGTTCCACCTGATCTGCCATGAAGTAAGGTGTGTCCCAGGAGTGTGTGGTAGTAGATTCTCCGGTTACAGGGTTGGGGCTAAGATTATGCAGTCTGCACTCAATCTTGACCTGAAGGCTCAGGAAACAGAGCTGCGGGCTGATGTGGTTAAAAATAGCCAAAGTGTAGTGATTTTTTCAGGCCACACAGCTGCTGGGGTAATTAATAGCCGGAAGAGTGCTTTGAAAGTGACACACAACTGGTAAATATAGCCCAAAGACTTCAGCTGGCAACACCTCCAAACCCCCAGAGATCTGTACAAGTCTGTCTGTCATAGATGTCCTGCTTGTTAACTCAGATTGAATACAAAGTCATGGTGGGGCTTCTATAACTACACTGAGAATAGACCAACACAGCATGAACCATTTCACTCCTCAGGCGCATGTATAGGTCGCCCTGCAGGAGGGAGGCTGAATTGCACCAGCCAAGAGAGAGACAGACATTTGTTGTTTTGTTGCCTTAGAAAACGGATGTTTCAGAAACCTCTGCTGGCACAGAGCAAACAGTTTGAGAACTCATAGGCTTCTCAGACACATCAAAATGAATTAAACCACAATCTGCTCATTTAAGACAACAAATTCAATTTACCACTGCTATCACAAATATGTTCAAAAGAGCGGCTGTACTCCTCTGTGTGTGTAACTACTGAGGAGGCATGCTTGCAAGGTGCGTACAAACAAAAGACGGGTTTAATTTAAAGGAAAGAGACTCAGACATTCTGTTTGCCTGACAGCTGAACTGTGATGCACTCTGCCGTCTCCCTAACTTTTTAACAGTGACACAAAACAAAGGATCACCATGGAAATTCAGAGTTGAACTGTTCTGTAAGAGAAATATATTTTCACGGCTACAATGCTGACAGTCTGGCTTTGTTTACCACAATTAGAAATGCAAGGACTTCACCCTCAAGTCCCCTCAACTAGAAGACTTTCACTTCCCCAGAGGGGACACTATGGTCATCATAAACTCATTCATCCTTCATCCATGGTGAGGAATAAAGCAAAGTATAATTTCACATACTATAAATCCTTTTGTTTCCTTCTTTATATGAATATTACCCAATAGGACAGCACAGATTGAATCTATCCCTGAAAATCTTAATATTCTAGACCTGAAATTACAGTCACTTGGTTTCATGGACATACACTAGCACTACTGACCACAAAGAAAAAGACATTGCTGAACCAACATTCATTTCAGTTTGTGGACTAAGATTTGGGTATGTAAACAGTAAAAGCTGAGGGAGTGAGCGCCCTCTAGCTCACAGGAGGTGTGGTTGCACTCACCAGTCTCTCCATCTCCTGCTCACGGAGCCTCTCCTCTCGCTGGCGGCGGTGATACTCCAGCAGCTCGTCCTCGTTGTCGCTGATCTCCGTGATGCTGTTCTTGCGCTCACGCAGACCTGGGTGGGGAGGCCGCAGGTCGCCCGCACCCCCCGACATCTTCCTGTGGCCACGGGGACTCGGCAGCGGCGAGGAGCCCGGCAGGGAGCCGAGGCTGAAGGCGGGAGAAAGGGCGTTGCCATAGCTAGCCTTCCGCCCTCCGCCGTCCGCTGGGGCGCTGGTTTGCTGGAACGCGGTGGTGGGGGAAGGACTCCGCGCTCTGACCCCCCGAGACCCAAACCCTTCCTCTGGGGGGGAGGCTGCCTTGCGGCGTAGTCTGGGGCTCTCTGGGACGTCCCGCAAGAGCTTCCCCGAGGGGCTGTCCGGCACCCGTAGAGAAGGAGAGGATGCTGGGAGTGGGGAGACTCCAGGGAGGGTAGGGATCCCCCTGCGCGACAGCGAGGGGCTGAGGGGAGGCAAGTCCCGCATGCTGCTGAGAGCGCCCGAGTTCACGTCTACATTCCTGCGGCCCAGCCGTGGGCTCTCTGGGGGCTGGAGACTCTGGGAGTGCTGCCGTAGATGTGGTCCGTCCTGAATTATGTGAACAATGGGATCCAGGGGTGGCTGAAAGGACCTAGGAGTTTGAGAAAGCTGTCTGGAGGGACTGGAGGTTAGAGAGCGGTCGATGGTGCCCTGGTCTCTGAAGGGGCTGGAGGGACGATCTTGGAACATGACCCCCATCTTTGTCCTGGGACTAGGTGGGGCTGCAGAAGGAGAAGAGTTGTGAAATTTGGAGGTCAGTCTGGGGCTGCCCGGGACCACATTCCTGGCAGTGGAATTGAAATCCGCAGAAATGGTGGAAATCGAAACTGAAGGCAGCCCGTGAGTTAATCTGGGGCTTTCTGGACCTCTTCCCCCTGGGCTGTCCTGGCTCAACCCCCTGCGAGTCAGGGTGGGGCTTGGAGGTGCCTCCAGAAGAGCACGTCTTTGGAGCCTGGGGCTTTCGGCCACCCTCTGTGCCCCGCTGCTGCGCGGATCCACGCCAGCGTAATTCGGCAGTGAGCTCCGGGGCTGAGGTATGGGCGGCTGGACAGTGTGGTTGTAGCTGGAGGATCGGACTGGCACAGGGGGCAGAGATGGACCTTGGTCCTGGCTGCTAACGGGAGAAGGGCTGGTGTAGCTGCCGCTGCTGGCGGCAGAAGGTGACGACAGAGGTGAAAAGGGTGGGGAGGCATTCTCGTAGCTTGAGCCCACTGACATTGCCCCCGGGCTCAATGGAGGAGACAGGAGGTACCTACCCCCACCATTCACCATGGGTGACAGAGGGGATTGTGGGATGGGGTTGATGGAGCTGGAGGACCTCTTGTGCTCGGAGAAAGAGGAAGGCTGTGGGTCATCCATGACTAAGGAGTCCATGATATCCTGGAGATCCTTCTCAATGGAGCTGACCAAAGCGCTGTGTTCGGGACGCGATCTCTCACGGGGGCTAGCATGCGGCTCTGGTGGTCCTGATTGGTGGTTCCCATTGACAAGACGTTCTGGTTCTGTAAGACAAAAGAAGAACAACCCTCATTTGTACATCCAAACGGCCAAGAACTACCTCTCCATTCTCTCAGATCCATAGGCTTAGTTTCAGTGTCATTTTAAAAGATCACAGAGTAGTGGAAACACATTTGTGCTTCATGCATCTTTTCACTGATCCACAAACATAGAATTGGTCAAGGCGAAGTTGCTACTTTAGGAGCAATACATTTTTTTTTTAGATTTCAGAATGTTTCGTTTTTTCTCGCATGACTCTGCACAGCAAGAATTCGATTTCCGGCAGACATTTTGCAGAAGATATTGCTCCTTAAAACACAGGGCTAATAATTTAGACTACTATTATATAAAGACTACTACGATATAAAACATTTATAATATATAATGTAATAACTGCATTTAAACAATTTTAGAAGAGCTATAAATGAAAGTTTCCTGAAACTACAGGAAAAAAATAAGGCTATAATAATTGTGGCTAATTTGATATCCGCATGAAGACTCCAGTGTCAGGCAGTCTGTGATATCTCATCTTGTGGCACTGTGAATAGGGATTACACTGTAAATTACAATATAAATTCTAGAAATTAAGTTAATTGGGGGGGAAAAAACTTCCATGCCCATTTTTGTGTTACTGAACAGCACGACTCATTGCCCATACCAGTTTAGGGTCACTGCCTGCTTGTATTCTTGGCTATAATTAGCGCCCATAATCTCTGACACCCCCAGTTTAAAAAACCATGCTGTGGTGTATTATTTCCATTGACAGCTACAGGTTAATCCTGTACAGATCCGGGGCTGCTGCTAAATAAGGTCCTAAATTTGAACTGCAGTCCTAACTACAATTACTCAGACATAATTTCCTACAGGACACACAGGAGTGTACACATAAGCACAAACAGAACTGGGAAAGATACGTAAAAGGACATGCTTTTAACAGATAAATGTCTGACAAATAGAGCAATTTAACCCAATTACTGTTGGCATGACTCACACTAACGGATATCACAGCCCTATTAAAGATAATTCAATAATGATGTTTGTGCACCTCTTTCCACGCTGATGGCAGTTTCAGGAGGGCAAAACCAAAGCAGACTTAATTTCTGTTAACATTTATACCACCACAGATAAAGACTGCAGGTGCTTTAAAACGAAAAGGTCGGTTTTTAAATTAAAATTAAAACCGAGATTTGCTTTATATAATCCACGTCTACAAGTAAAGTAGACAAACAATATATACATACATGATCTTAAATAAATGCTGCACCTATATTATACATATACTGTATGAAAGCTACACCTCTATTTTGATCTCGTGTATTCCATATGATCTTGCAGTATCTTTCATTTCTAGTCTTTAAGACTCTTGTAAATTGTACTCAAAACAGAAAATCACTCCAATGAAACGAACTACAACTGTTTCTTAAAATGTGAATTCGGGAAATTGTGTCGTTACAAAAATCGGTCTAATGGGAACGCATAATATCCACTTGGTGTTCAGATTAGTGAACGTAACCTTTTTATATAACCGCTACTCTCTCTTCTTTAATTCGTTGTTGAAAAGAAGACGCAATGTTTTATTTCTTGGAAGATGTACAGCCAACTGGAAAATGTTATCTACGTTGTTATCACTGCTCATTCTTAAATAGTGGAAAAAGCTTATTCATGTTTTTTTTCCCCCGAAGGCAAATATAACTACTGTATATACAATATATATGAGGTTTAAAAAAATGGTACCTGTATTAACGCTGCTCCTATTCTTTCAACGTTAAAATTCTAGACCAGTTTGAAGCCTGTTAATAGGCATGTCTCTTCCCCTGGACAGAATATACTGTTATTACAGAAGAATAAACGCCTACAATGAACCTGCTGTCAGAAGCACATCGCCATCTCGCAGGGCAAAGCTCGACGTCGGCATACCCAGCTCCAGAGCGCGTCGCTCCCCTCTCCAGTCCCCTCTGCGCGACGCACAGCGCGACTCTCCGTCCGAGCACACCGTGCCAATCCACGGCTACTCGCTGACTCCCTTCCCCCTCCCTCCCCTGTCCACGGTGCTGATGTGAAGGAGTGCGATCTTTCTAGGGGCGGGCACTAGCGTGGCATTTCTGTTTCCCCCTTTTTTAAAGAGACAATGTCCCTTTCTCCACAGTCGAGTCTGTGTTCATTTTTTTGGAAGCACACACACTGAGAGAGCTCCATACGTCTTGGCACACCAGGTGCTTGTAGTTTTCAACCTTCACCCTTAAACGTGTGAACGTGCAGGCCTGGAAACACCGCTACAAAACCGAGCCCCTGTACAGCGGGGAAGGGACTGTGGGGGAGGTTTCGAGATGCCTGTTGGGTCCGCGGTGAGATTTGCCAAGCTGTGGAGGAAGAGGCTGGTTTGGATTACAGCCCATTGCGTGGGCCTGATCACCAGGCTTCTTCCCTAGTTCTTAGAACAGGAGTCGTCTTCTTTCTCCGAAGAATCCCTGCCATCTGTAAGCTTTAAAGAAACCTGAGCACACAGCTAACTCAGCGCTGGCGGCAGGCAGTGACAGGCAGGGGTAGTCTTAAGAAAACATTGTACTGGGCCTTCCATGGGCACCATATTCAGCCATACACCAAACACAAACTTCCACAACCACATCCCTGGCATGAGGAAAAGACTAAAAATGCACAAAACAGATCACCGCAAAGAACTGAAAAGCCTGAAATTCCAAGAATCTGAAAATCAGGTAGATTCACTCAAATGCACAAAAGGCATTTCTACACCACTGTATATATCAGACCAGGAAATCTTGAAAAGGACCTAAATCATGCTGCCACTGTCACACGAGAAAGAGTCACTCACCAACAAGGCACAAAAGAAAGGACACAAGGCAAAAAAGAAAAGGCAGGGGCTAAGCAAACTGTAGACCCAGGAATTGTTTTGTTCTGCATTTTCTTGAAAATGCATCCATGCTTTCGCGGTTCGTCGATCGTTTGAATTTCAGATTTTTGCCACGGAAAAGGGCTGGAGAGTATTAAGAGGAGAAAGAGGAGGCTGAAGGTAGCAGACCACCCCCCCGCGCAGGCGACGGGAGAAAATCGAGCAGCGGGGGGCATTTCAAGTAAGAAAGGGCAAGGGAGTTGAAGGTGTCCAGGGACAGGGGTGAATAGGAAAGGAGAGAATATCTTTCAGGGGTCAGGGTAAAAATTGAAACTGTGATAATACGCTCGTCATCTGAACCAACTCCGATAAGATGGAAAAAAATGCCCTTTGTGGAATAGAAATGAGAGAGAAGCTATAAGCGATAAGGCTGATATGTGACCGTACTGTACTTTTTCTTGAAGTCATTCCTCAGCTGACACTTTTATCAGCGAGAATGTTTTGGTAAAAAAATTCCCAGTCCCCGGTCCTGCAGTGTGTTTAGGTACTGCCATGTTCAAAGTGTTTCTTGGAGATTCTTGTGACCAGGGGCAGTGGCAAATGAGGAGAACAAATCTCAATTCAGTGCAGATATTATTCAAGGAGTGGTGTGGTCATTGGAGATGAAAGGGAGGTATTGGAGCAAACTCCAAGAAAGACGTCCATGCGTGGAACAGTGCAATAGGGCAGAAAGGATAGTGATACTGACCCCTGTAGGGCAATGGAGGGATTGCGTCCTAGTAATAAAAGGAGACAAGAGCATAAACACAACTTTTGCAAGTTAGTCTGTCCCACTTGAATGCAGTGTTGTGATATAGGGGTCTTAAGCCATTGTCTGGACCACAGCACAGTTACCCTTTTGGGAAAGGGGATTGGGAGAGATGAGAACACCACACCTTGGAACGTATCCTGATTACACCTAACAATGATGATGCAGAACTAAGACTAATGGTACACTTCCATTTTGTTTTCATTGAGCTACAGAGAAGGGATGAATGGGTGAGACAACTTAATTTCAGAGAGAAAATAACTGCATGGTCTGCAGTCTTGAAAAACACAGTATCATCACCAACAAACGTGCATTTTGGGCTCGTGTGAAATGGTGGAACCGTAGACGAGTGCGTTACATGCAGATAGCAAAGGCGGGTGAAAATATGGCAGGAAACGGAAAGCTTTGATGTGTTTGGGTTGATATGATTTGCGTGACCTCTAGATAAAAAATTACAAAAGCACTCTTAATATGAGGTCAGCTATGGCAGTGCACACAAGGCCAATTTTTGGGAAAGTCACAAGAAAACAAGAAGAGGAAAGCATGGTGAATGAGATGCACAGATCTCATATTTCCATGGTCCTGTCCAAAATCGAACTGGTTTGAAAAGAATGTGCACAACTATACTTCTTACATTATGCGCTCTCCTACTGAATACTATCTTCTTTCTCTCCCATCTTTGTCTCCTACACCTAATCCCTGCATTTTAATGAACAGCTGTCCTCCCTCTCTCTCTCCCTGCCACGTGGAAACACACTGCCTTATAATTACCAGCAACAGCAGTAGACGCCAGGATACCCTTTAATTACCATGTCAGTCAATGACGTCATCGGGGTGTTTGCATTTCATTTCCATTTATAAGCAGAGAGATGGTTTTAGGCCAGGGCTGTGTTCTGTGCTTTATAGGTGTCGGACTCATGGAATGAGTTAAAGGGGAAGACGAGAGTTTGGAATTGAGCAGTATAAGCAGTACATATACATTCATTTCAAGGCTGAAACAGCAAGGTAAACTTATGTGCATAAGGAAATGCAAGAGTATTTAACATCTCCCTAACTAACCTGTTCATGTTGTTAAGTCACTGTTCTGCATTTAATTTTGCATCTTGTCTAAGTCTGCATAGCCCACACAGAAAACAGGCACCTTTACTGATTTTATTGGATCAGTCTCACAAATACCCACTCACTGCAGTACTACTGTACAGTACATCTGTCCTATCACAGTTCTCCCCAATGATGTTCTTTTAACTGTGCCTTTCTGTGAACAAAAACAACAGTAATTCTTTCAGTATTTCAGTAAATAAAGTAATTCTCATAGCTGACTTTTCAAATTAAAGTGCTGTATAAAGGCGAGTTCCTCAAAGGTCTTATAAAGGGCTTCATTTGACAGAAGAATGACATCTTCTAATCTAGACAATGTGGGAAAGTAATAATAAGATAATAAGAATAGCCAACAAAATATTAGGATTCATAGTTAAAAGCTTAACTTAAATTTTAACCAAAAGTTATGTTAAGATATGCCAATGCAATTGTAAGAGCTCGTTTAGAATATTGTATACTCTTTTGGTCAAAAAGGTACAATAGATATTACAACTCTGAATCAATTCGTCAAAGAACAACCAGTTATATTTCTGAGCTTAAAGGAATATCCTATACGGACAGTCTAAAGCAACTGAGCCTTATTTAAGACAGCAGATAACACGGCTTTGGGAAATGGGAAATGATCAAGTACTCACAATCGTCATAAGCATTTCCCACGTTAACCCGGTGGTTGACATGTGTGAAACTCCCATTTAAAACCAAGAACAGGGGCACTTTTTCACACAAATGGTTGTTGGGTCTGCCACAAGCTACCCAGCCATGCTGTTGAAGCTCGTACCCTGGGTTCTTTCAAGAACTAACTGTTACGAGATCCCTGCTTCAATTAGCTACTAGCTAACCAATCAGGCTAATGGGCTAAATGGCCTCCAGTCATTTGTAACCCCTCCGATGATGCAATGCCTTCCTCTGGGGCTCTCTAATAAAACCCAGAAACAAACAGGGCTATTTTTGGACTAAAACAAGTCTGTACATCTGTATAATGAATCCCATTATAGCTCTGTCACTAATACAACTAAAATATGCATCATTCTTTGGACAATAGCAGTAAATAGAGTGCTTTTGAAAGAATATGCCATACAGTATAATGAGCAGCATTTGCTTTGCTGCTTTTAGAGTATTAATAAATGGTGTTAAAGAAATAAGACTTAATGCATATTGCTTAAAATATCCTGTTCTTCTGCCACAGTAATGAGCCCTCCTTTTCACTACCACTTGCAAATTGAAATGACACCTTTCTTCTTTTTTTAGTGTAGAATAAACTTGCACGACCCAAGTTTCATCTATACTTGTACTGTATCTACCAAGTGTACAGCATCTATGCTTGAATGCTAAACAGAAACACAACCAAATACTCTGGGTTTCTTCCCTGTGAGTAAGGCCTGAGTCTGTCCTAGAACCCCTAACTTTAATTCTAGTGGCAGAGAGTTTTGGAGTTTGTTGAGGGTTGTGGATTTTTATAGCCTGTAATGTTTGTGCAGGATGCTGTTCACTACACTTGCAACTGTCATGGTTTCAATGGCTTTGCTTGATTCACTTTTGTGATTACTGAAGGAGAGCATATTCTCAGTGTCTTTTACTTTTGAGAACTGGCACAAAAACAAAATTACTGTGAGACATATTTGGGTTAACATATTCAGCATTTTGTATGTGGTGATTTGTTTAACGTGAGTTGTCTGGTTTAATCTCTGACCCAAACGTGTGGTGTGAACGGTTGAGGTGAGAACGAAGGCTCGCGCTGTGTCCGTTATTCTGTTTTTTTCTTCTTCTTTTGGGTCTGTTTTTTTTTTTCTCAACAAAGTTTGATGGTCGGCCAGTGGAAGCTCCGTTTTCCTACACACGAATGCCTAAAACCCTAAACCGAACCCTGGATTTTACGCTACCATTCTTGGTCGCCATGGCCACGGTTACCTGTGCTGGCTCTGCAGGGTCCAGCGGGGCCCTGTCCACTTCCTGGCATCATACTCTTCATTCTGAAGGCCTCTTCTGGGTGGTTGAATCGGAAAAAGGCCGACTGGCCAAAACACAGCATACACCCTGCAGGGAAAAGGAGCACAGACAGGTCTCTGAGCACAAGCCCCATTCCTTTAACAGTTCTCACCACTAGCTGAGGGGTTATGGAGGGGAGTAATATTTATTGTAAACTTTTCAACATCATTGCCAAATGTCAAATAAATAAAAGCAACTTTGCTGACAAAGAAGCCGCTGAATTGAGATTTCAGGAACAATTATCAGATTGCAACCATTTGAGCAAAACATTAGCAAAGTATACACCGATGTCCAAAACAACATCCCAGTCAGTTTTGTTTTACTAATCCTGTACATCTGAAAGGCACCAATTAACAAGCTGGGTGACTTGTAAAAACCTGACTGACACGTGTGCTGGGGTAAAGTGAGAAGGAATTAGTTATGTTCTTCCTTTTTTACAGGCCAACAAAATGCAACCCATCAGAATTCAATCCAAAAACTTCAAAGGAAACACCTGCCCACCCTAATTCTCCAGATCCCTGTAGACTCCCAATATAATCCCAAACGATAAATGAACACAACTAAGAGAAGGGGGAGCTTTCTTCTAAGAAACGCCTGTTTGTTTGCATGGCTTGTTGGTGAGGCATTGTGAGGGCACATCATCACAATGAGGAGGAAGGCATGCCGTTTCGTTTCCTCATGAGCCAAAATAAACACGTTTTGTCATGTTTTTCAATGGGACCAGAAAACGCAAACATCTAAGGGGCGCAGAGAGAGACATGAACGGGCAGGAGAATCGTTCCGCACGTTGTCAGCTCACTAAATAACAGCTTGGTTTTCTGAGGCGGAAAAAAAGTAGCTTTAGGCAGTGGCAACACACCCTTCCTTTCATCCTAAGAATGGTTGTGCAACTTGTTGCCAAACATCTGTGTTTATTTTCAGTGCAAGACAGATTTTCTTTTCTCCTCTTGTCTGTGAGGCCTTGGGAGTTCATTCACTCTCTCAAGTGAAGAAGGACACCAGATCAATCGAAAATCCAGTTTTACTTCAATCTCCACATAGGATATGTTACGCATATAACACTTTCCTTCTGTACTTTCTATATGGCTGTATGGAAGGGTATATGGAAACATTTTTTTCCTTGCAGTAAAGCCAAAAAAGTAAAACCTGTTTGTTTTTCCAAAATCTAATGAATGTTTTCTCCGGATCCCTAACAGGAGGTTGAATGTACAACAGTGAGAGAATATCATCTACACAAAGCCTTTCTTCATTGCTACGCAAAACCTCAGACAGAAATGCTGGATATGACAAGTAGTGCTGTAATGATGTGATAACAGAGCTTTTTTCGATGAATGTTTTACCCAAGTGGAGGGTAACACCCAGCACCCATCGGAAATATCTTCAACCGCATTTATTTTCACGTCGCGTTTATACTCCGAACTGATCAACTCTGCAAATCTGTAACCAAGCCCCCAGACACTTAAAACACATACTTTTATACTGGTTGCATTAAAAACATAACCAACAGCATGCATTTTTAAATTACCCTCTCAGTATATTTAAAAAGGAATCAGTTAAGACACACTGGACAAATTGTGTTTTGACAGAAATGGTGCTTATTTAGAATACACAGCAGTGCCAAACTACTAAATAATTAGCTCCAATTCACTGACTCAAGAAAGTACCAATGCAGCAAAAGAGTCCCCTTGATATCTGCTTTCTTCTAGCTGAAGTCTTCTTCTTAGATCAGTTATAATTCCGGCAGTGTGGTGGCTCTGTGGCTCAGGATCTGTGCCTGTGGCTGGAAGGTTGCCGGTTTTTATCCCGCAGCCGGCAGAGGAATCCTACTCCGTTGGGCCCCTGAGCAAGGCCCTTAACCCCAACTGCTCCAGGGGTGCCATATAAGTGGCTGACCCTGCGCTCTGACCCCAAGCTTCTCTCTCTGTCTGTGTATCTCATGGAGAGCAAGCTGGGGTATGCAAAAAGACAAATTCCTAATGCAAGAAATTGTCTATGGCCAATAAAGTGATCTTATCTTATAAAAAATCTCCTGAGACCACAGTTGCACACTACAGCAATGTGCTGTAATCTGCAATTTTCAAGGTTGAAAAATGACCATTAAATTAACAAACATGAAATGGAGGCAGCAGTGTGCAACAAAAACACTAGGAAGGCCGCAGGGTTAAAGTGCTCTGTCTGTGAGGGAGCGAAGTGGGTTTGAACTCAGTACAGGGCTTAATGAGCACTTGGCCTTGTAATGACAGTGTCTGAAAAAGATTGCATCTGAGGGACACTGCACAGGCCTCTACCTTCTCCTTGTTCATTATCACACTGAAGACACATCTGTTTCCTGTGCGTTTTCCATTAGCTTCCAGCCTTGCTTAACAGAGTTGCACAATTTGTCCTACCAACATACCTGCTGGTCCACAGTCATTCTTTTTTTTTCTTGGATAATAACATTGTTTGAAACGTTCACCTTCTGGTGTTGAAAACTTCCAATAAAAGGCTGGAATTTAAAACTTTCTTATTAAGTTCTTTATCTGTAGTTTGTTTGACGTAAAACTTGACTTAATTGCACTTTCTCGTGCTTCATTTCTCTCATTAAAATCGTATGGTAGCTGGAGTTGCTTTATTGTACTATGTTACCCAATAGAATAAAACGTGTTCGAATAACCATCTTCGAAAATGCAGAACCTTGGGACTTTTTACAATGTTCTTGTTTATTTTGTTACTGTTTTGATGTTCTTTGTTCAAACCCAAATAAGGATGCGACCTAAAGAAATAATTGTAAAATAAATTGTAGAAGCTGGCAGTGCCAAGATGTTCGAATGGAAATATACTTCATTAGGTATCCTGTATCTAACTGTGAGTTTCTCTACAACAAACACCAAGTTATCTGAAGGTGGCTTTGATCTAGTTTGCTTTGTGGACCTTGCAGGATTATGCAGGATCAGTCTGTCTTAAGTGTTTGAGCTCTGACTCACGTTGTTTTTTACAGCTCAAATGCAGTAAAAAGGTTGAGGAGTTAAAGCATTAATGATTTTTTTTTTGCAAGACTAGCTCAAGTACCCAGAACAAACAGAAACCATGCTGGGTGCAGCAGTTTACGGTTGCTACAGACTGCAGGAGGGAAATATATATATATATTACTCACCTTTGTAAATAATCTCTGTGTTTAGCAGAGCCCAGACCTAGCAGGTAGTTCTATCTGAATGGTCAGTCCGGCATGATTCCCTGGCCATTACATACATCCGTAGGGAACATGCTGCTTCTTCCAGAGAGGGATTGACAGCAGATAAGGGTTAAAGGAGAAAAAGACGCACGGGAACCTGGTGAACGCCTCTCTCACGTGGTGCTGTGGTTCAATGTGCAGAGCTGACTGTACTGACTGGGACAGGTGAGGGCAGGACAGACTAATGCAGTCTGAACTAAGGGTTTTAAAGGGATCAAGGCAGAGGGACACAGGCATATGTGCTTGTAACTAGAGAGTAAGAGACTGTATTTGTGAGCAGGTTATTCTTCTTAATAAAAAACGAGAAGAGAAGTAACAATCCCCTCAACATCTTTGCTTGATTGGTGGCACCAGTGATGTTTAGTATGAATATCATTTCCATCTAGCAATCACACAATCGCTGGAAACCTATATGGAAAATCGATGACGAAGAAGATCATTACCCCGGAGCTGAAATGCTGTTTTCAGTGTTGAAACACTGAAGACAGCAGGAACTGGGAAGTCGGAAGCCCAAGGAGATGATCAAAGCTAAAAGCCAGGTTTTATAGCTGCCAGCTTGCACTCCGTTAAAATTCCAAGGAAGGGGATAAAGAGATGAATCAAAGCTGAATTTTTCCGCTGTCTGCACTCTCACATCAGTGGATGTCCTGTTGGCTCCTGCAACATTTATTTCTCCAATCTTTAATTCCAACATCCGTTGTAGTGTGTTAAGCTACAAACTTCCCTTTCCACTTTCCTCGGCATGATTTGCAGATTGCGATGGCAGTGGAGCTCAGGTGCTTTCTAATGGTTTGGGCCTCCGGCGATTGGAGACGGACCCCAGCCACAAAATAAAGGACAAGATCCGTGCGCTACCCTCAGGGCTGAGGCCAGGCAAACACTGAAGAAAGAACGGGCCAAAACTGGGCCAATGAGAGTCTGATAAACAAGAGGAGATGTCTAGTTGGAATCATTTCTACTCAGGAAGGTGCCACCTGTTACTGTATCAAAAGTTTCCCAAACTTACTCATGCAAGGATATCTACTGTTGGATAATTTGTGCTTAAATAATCCAAAATTATCTTATGGTACGTGTTTAATAAGGTTATCTTCATCTTCCGTTAAAATGTTCATGGCCAACCAATTGCATTTCAGGTCTAAAACTTCATGAGAAACAAACCCACCTAAGGGGTTCACAAACTGTTTCTCAGCACTACAGTCTTTTCTGTCTGGGCCAGCATCGCTTTGAACATCGAGTAGGTTCTGTTGCTAATAACCTTGAAGTGGATGATATGGTTTTATTAATATTGGCATGGATGTAGAGTTGGAAAATAGATCTCCCAATGCTTTGGGGATGCATCTTCTAACACGGCAACAATTCACACAACACTAATATCAACTTCACAAAAATTGCTTCTCAGTCTTTTAGCTGAGGTCAAGCGCACTTTTTAAAGTGTAAAATAATTTTCCCAGCCAAGCAAACCTATTTTTATATGGTAATTATAAGAAATTCAATTCCAATCCAGGGTGTGTGTACAGAGCAAGTAGAAGACACCATAACTTATGGAATATATGAATAGCTTCTTATATAGTAATTATTGCAAAGCTTCAGCATTTCCCTGTAGACTTTAATTACTTTCAAAACTAAAAGAGTTGATCTTTTTCAGGTGCCCAGCTCGGCACCTTGAGTTTTAATCTAGGAAAGCCAATGGTTAACCAACATTTACTCACTGGCTGTGCAAAACAGTCAGAGAAGAGCTCTGCGACCTTAAGCTTTATCAGACATTAGGGAAATAAGGCTGAATATCAGGTATCTTTGTTTATTTGTAGTGATAAGAGCAAAAGGGCTGAGAGAGGCA